ATCAGGTCATTTGCGATGCACTTCTGGTCAATGGTGCAGTGTCTCAGTTCCTGTACACAGCTTGTTATGCAATAGTTACTTTCTATGGTTAAGTCACTTTGATTCTACTTTAACACAATTTCTATTCATGCTGTTGCTAATGTCCCTCAGACAAAAGCAAGCGCAATGATTCAGTTTACTTCTCTAATTTGTGTTTTTATCAGATCTAATCAATGTGATTACTTCACACAGTACAAAATCAACAAATCAAAAGTTTCAGGACAGAGGTCAATTAGTCCATGACAATATAGAATTCAAATGAACATTTCTGGTCTCAAAAAATACTGATTCAACTAAAGATTCAAGTGATAGACAATTAAAAATATTTGTTTACATTGGAGTAAACTTTTAAAATGCTTTTTCCTCATGTTCTGCTTTTTCATGTATCTATATGTAAATGTGAATGTGTGAGTGTATGAATGCATGTGTGTGTGTGGATCCACCTGTAGGTCTCAAAGTTCACACTGTGGTGATGTAAACCAACTGGACACACTCTCAACTCTCATTCAGGTCTCTCCCTGACGCTCCACCATCACGTCTCCAGATACCTCTCTCTACCCCGGTCTCTCTCACACCCACTCAGTTCTGGAGTGGCGTGGGGAGGGGCAAGGAGGTGGCATTTTCCTTTGCTCTTTGATCTGTGACCTGTGGCTGGGTGGGCTTTGCTGTCCAGTGTCCACTCCAGCAGTCCAGTGACCCTGTACAGTGTGTGCCCTTGGTCCTGGAACACAACCTTATAGTCAAAATCAAAACAATAGATACCAGTATGTGAATGAGATTGTTTTTCTCTCTAAAGTCTAAACAATTTTGGAACGCTCTTGGCTTTTCAACATGCGCTATGTAAATAAAGATTACTTATTATCTTACTAATGTGAAACTTTTAAGACCAGAAACTCTTAATATAAAAAACAAGACTCAAATCTCAAAAATCTTCAAACTTTAAAATATGTATTATGTACTTTTGTACTGTGTTTAATTATCTATGCGTCCTTGGGTTTCTTGAAAGACGCCATGAAATGAAATTATTTTGGAAAACATTAAAACATAACCTGAAATCAAACAAAAGATTTAGCTCCAGCTAAACTGGATTTGGTTCATAAATAAAACTCAATTGTGCGTCGGAGCTGCCTCCTCCTGTCTCTGGGCAGCAGGAGCAGGAGCAGGAGGAAGGTCACGCGTGTAGTCAAAACAAAAACAAAAGTCACCACTTGAATGTGAATTGGGTGTTTTAACTTAATAATATAATACTTTTGCAGCTAATCCTAATTCCCTCTTTCTTTTTAGACGAAGTCTATAATCAATAATCACTTTTAACACAGATTCTAATTTAAATGTTTGAAAAACGGCTTTTGTAACTAAAATAAAAACATAAAAACAAACACAACTCACAAAAAGTTAAGAAATAAGCAGCAGATTTAAAAGAATGGAATCTAGAAATATGTTAGGTCTAAAAACAATTGCACAGCTTTAGCACTAATCTTTGGGTTTCAAAAACATACTAATTCAAAACTTATTCACTAATGGTGTTTAAAAACGTTTAACTGTGTCATAACACAATGTTCAATTGCAAATTTCGCAAATTTAACGGAATAACAACTATGAAAAGCCAAAAATCCTAAAGCAGTAGCTTTGTTCTGATTCAGAGCCAGAGCAGCAAAGGAGGGGGCCGTTTCCCCTGACAACGGCAGCAAGATAGAGCGGCGCACACACACAGGCAGAAAGTAGTGTTTTAGCAAAAATGCAAAAACAGAAAGAAGAATAACTTTCAAGATTACTTTGTTAAGCGAATATAACTGATGTTGTTCTTTAAACTTTTGTCATCCAAGTCTAGAAGTGATCACTTTCCACACTTGTAACAAAAGGCACTCTTGTCTTTACGCTTCTATTTTATCGAGGTAGCAAACTAATTTAAACTCAAAATCTCTTTCTAAAAAACAAAAACAACTGTTGGATACAACCCTCTCATAGCTTAACTGTAAATATAACTCGGCAAAAAATGTAAATAACTCACGAAAGCTCTCATAGCTCAACTTTAGATAAAACTCTGCATTCTCCGGTGAACTCCAAAAACTCCCTTTTTCTGTATGTAATTTAAACCGTGATCACTGAAATATTGTTGCTTCTTTACTTTTGTCATTTATCAAGCCTGGAATTGTTTAATTACAAAACTTTTTGTGACAAAAGGCCTCCTTAACACGTTTCCCTTTTTATTGCTTTTATGCTTACACCATGGTTTCACTAAGGATCCTACACTTTTCTCTGGCTAGCAAGGGGCCTCTACCCCGGTAATTACTCAAAAAAGGGCCTCTACCCTGTAATTACTCTTTTTCTCAAGGGGCCTCTACCCCGGTAATTACTCAAAAAAGGGCCTCTACCCTGTAATTACTCTTTTTCTCTAGGGGCCTCTACCCCATCAGGTAGCGAACCTGTTTTTAATCTAATCTGATCTATAGATATATGACACTTGGTAGACCTCAAAACAGACCAAAATTTAGCTAGTATCCAATTATACAGACTTTACATATAAAAAGGTGTCTGCTTACCTTATTCTTGTCAAACAGGATCCAAGGACTGTCCGAGAGGTCTACCAAATACCAGCTTTTCCACGTCCAACCAGGTCTCCAGATCATGAACCAGCGCTCACTAGTACCGGGAACTAGTTTCCATCGGCAGAGACCAATCACACGTCAAAAAATCCCCGGAATGTGTACATGGGAAAACAATTTTAAACGCTCAGTCCAAAAAACAGGACACAAAAAAATATAGTGAGAGAGCGAAAAAGAGTCCCGGAGCCGGTCGCCTCTCCAGCCTGCTGGACCGCTCCCAGGCCCCAGACACTCTCAGCTCTCCCACGCCGAGAAAAAAACCCAAAGAAAACTCCCTCAAAACAATCCAGAGAATGGCACACACTGAGCCGCGCATTCTCCACCAAATCTGTTAGGGATGAAGCAGACAGAGACGGATCGTGGTGCGCCAAACTCTGGAGTTTATTTAAGTTTCTCTCAAGTTCCAGTGGTTTACTTTGTTTCTTTCTCTCAGACAGAATAAAGGCAGTACACAGTTTATATAGTCATTGTCACGTCACACATCGAAAGACATACGTGTCACAAAGAGACAGTCAAATCATAGTCATAACATGGAGTCCTTGTAGAGTCCTTGTAGAGTCCTGCACGTAGGCCATATTGCTATCTAATACTAACAGGACATAAACGCTTAGAAGGATTGATTGAAGGACTTGGGCCCCATGGCGAACACTCGCACTGATGTGGTCAACTCTGGATAACGGTGAACAGAGGGATCCATTTCCAGTTAATTTGAACTTATTTGGCGTTAAAGTCTACACTGCCTTTGATTTGACCAGCTAAAGTGCTTTACAAATTTCCACACACAATACACAATACACACAATACAATTTATTCTTGTATAGCCCTAGGTCACAACAGAAGTCATCTCAGAGGACTTAACAAAACCATTGAAATCACCAACATAGGTCAGAGAATCAACAGTTAAAACACATGAAGAATATAAAGCACACACAGAAGAAAATGTCCATACATGTTGTAGAATGCTAAAGTGTCCTGATCATCACCAATCCTTTCTGTTGGACACTAACTGTCCAACAAGACCCTCCTGCATCGACAAGGAAAAACTCTTAAAAAACCCAGTGGGAAAAAGTGAGAAACCTTGGAGGAGCACTAGGGAAACCCACAGGGAGGGAGACCCATATGAGAAAGGGATCCGCTCCTCCGGACGGACAGGCTAATGATCTAGGACCTAAGCTAGCTACAGGACGTGGACCAGTGGCCGCTGAACGTGGACAGGTCCGGTGCAGGACCGAAGCACTCCCAGGCGGGTCGGGCGGGGCAGTCCGCAGGTGTAGATGGAAGAGGCCAGGCTCAGAGATCCCGTCATCGTACCATGAAACAGACAATGGGACAACGGGTACAATCCACAAGGCATATGTGTTGTTTTGTCTCCCACATCCGTAGGCACCTGCTCTTATCTTTGTCCTCCACATTCCACCACACAGCCGGTCTTCAAGGCCGCAGAAGGACTTCTCTCTTAACTTACAGACTCATCAGTATACCAGTTGTTTGGCTCACCCCTCCCCCCTACATGTCTGTCTCTCTCTCTCTTTCTGTCTACGGTGGTCTTCCCTTCCACCTCCCCCACCCACACTCCCTCTCTGACACGCCATATTGGACGAGGTGGGTCAGAGTGACAATGTCCCTTTAAAAAGATCTGCATGCTTTCCCGCATGTACTGTTTCCATCCAATAATGTCTGTTGAAATAAATGTTTGTTTTGCTCTCTGCTGTTGAATAACTGTCATAAGGAGCGCGGATATGTTGTCCGCAGCCGGCCTTGATGTTTATTCATCGAACTGAATAAAGGATTGATTGATTGATTATTGCATTTACTGTGTTCATGTTAGGATTCAAGCAGACAGAGACGGATCGTGGTGTGCCAAACTCTGGAAGTTTATTTAAGTTTCTCTCAAGTTCCACTGGTTTACTCTGTTTCCTTCTCTCAGACAGAATAAAGGCAGTACACAGTTTATATAGTCATTGTCACGTCACACATCGAAAGACATACGTGTCACAAAGAGACAGTCACATCATAGTCATAACATGGAGTCCTTGTAGAGTCCTTGTACAGTCCTGCACGTAGGCCATATTGCTATCTAATACTAATATTCAAACTGAGGATTCTCGGCTGTTGAGGATTCTCGGTTGTTGAGGAATCAACCACTGTAAAGTCTTCGGAGGTGACTACTGTTGTGATTTAGGGATAAACTATAATGTAGTATTTATGAAACAGAGTTAGGTGCTGCAGCTTTATTGAAAAATATATTTGTATATATATTTGAGTGTCCAAAAAACTAAAAACACATGTAAATTATTTATATGTGTCTGTATGTCTGACAAAATTCTAAACCCTTGTTTATCTTTGTCTCCTCAGGTTATCCGGCGGGGCAGTGAGGAGGAAAAACTGCTGTGTCTGGTGCGAAGGCGTCCAGGACACCACTGTGACAGTGCAGTGCTGGTGATCCTCATCCTGGCTTGGGAGGGGGTCCCCAGGCCTGTGGCGGACCACCTGTACAGAGACCTGACAGACTCCCTCTTCAAGTATGGCTCTACCACATGTCGTCGCTGCGCGCTCAACGATGAGTGAGTGCACACATCGTCTGTACAATACATACAGCTCCTTTAAGGCAGACTTTGAGTTTAATGTATTCATTTACAAGTAAAGGTATGGTAGGTATGGAAGGCCGCCATGAAAAAAAAGGCAGACAAAAACTCAACATTGCAAGTTTTCAAATAAAAATGTTGAGTTTAAAAAAAAATTTAATTACGAGTTTAAAACTCATAATTTTGTCTTTTACATTCCCAAGTCAAGCCTGTCTCGGACTGCACAACCACTTGCAGTCACAGTGATCCATGAGGGAGCCAGCAATAATGTTGGGGTCATTGTCAAACCTTTCCTGTTTAAGCCCCCGGGCTGTGGTCGTAGGGGAGATCTGTCTCTCCTCTCCCGAAGGGATCCTTTGGGATTTTACTCCCTTTTCTTTGACCCTGATGGTCAACTGGTGTTAGCTCTATAAGCACTCCGGATTGTTGCTCAAAAAGTCGGGTCTTTATTTTGGCACAAAAACATCAACATACAAGGCACTTATTCCCTAACTTGCTCCAGCCCCTTCTCATACGCCACCTCACTTTACCATACCCACACGTACGCTCGCTCCATCAGCGCTCCAGAGCATGCTCACGTTTCGGCACACACACACTCACGTAACATACCGAGTTGCTGAACATTAAAGTTAGACGCATCTTACAATAGTTTGTTTTGTAGCACAGCATTTTCCTGAAGAAATGTCAATGCATCCACTGATTCAAAAGGTTTAATCTTGTCACAGCCATCGACTGGATTCTTTTACAATATTCAAGAAAATTAAGTATTTTGTTTGTTATACAGCATCTTCAAGTTTTAAACAACTCAAAATTACAAAGTTCAAGTTTAAAAATCATAATTTTAGGTGTCTGTTTTTTTTGTATGGTGGAAACAGGCTCCCATAGGTATGAAAGGATTTTTAAAAAACAAATACCATCCAGAATCAGAATCAGAATATTTTTTATTTCCACATAAGTAACAAACAAAAGTTACCACTTAGAAATTGTTTTGGCAGAGAGCGTGCCACTTCGCCATTTGCGGCGCTGTGTGCAAGCAGGAAACGGCAGAGAGCAATAACATACAGTTTCACAGACGCTGGTCTCTGCGCACCGGTCTCTCCAGTCAGGTGTCTCCAGTCTATGCGGTCTCTCCCATAGGTCCGCGCTGGTTTCTGTGTGCTGGTCACTCCAGTCTCTCCTCGGGTCTGCATTGGTCTCAGCGCTGGTCCGCGCTGGATCTCCTCCCAGGGTCCAAAATATTTTGAGATTAATCTCAAAACATTTTGAGATTCATCTTTAAAATAATACATAATATATTTTTAAATTAAGCTCATAACATTTTGAGATTAATCTCATCATATTCTTAGATTAATCTCATAATTTTGCTAGTTCGACTTTATTATCATAATATTTCGACTTTTAAGTCAACATTTTATAACTTTATTCTCAGTCTGGTAAAAGAAGAAAAAAGGGTGACTCTTTTGCTCCGTGGCCTGTTGCTTTAGGCCTGTTGCTGTTTCCTCTGCCGTCTGCACACGGCCCTGCAGTCCCTTATATGGGCATTAGTGGGCGGTTACTTATGCTAAGTACCTATGCTAATGAAGCACCTGGCACGCGCGCTGTACTTACGAGGAAATGGGATTCATCAATCTGAGAGAACAGCTGCGAACAATTCAGCGCCTTACGAGTGCGTTGATGAATCCCACGTGGGGACTTCTTAGAAATCTACTTAAGGACAACTTGAGAAGAAAGTTGAGTAGTTTCTTACGAAGTTATTCGTGAATGAGGCCCAGTGTGCTTTGTGTAAAACACAATTTTTTCTTGGGATGAGCACCTCCTACCGCCGGCCAACGTGGCTATCAGAGGGGGGGCAAGGTGAGGGAGGGGGTAAGCCGGAAGGACAGTAGGGAGTGAGAGGGCGGGAGGGAGAGAGGAATCTTCTCCTCTCTCCATCTGGAGAGGTAGGGGGAGGCGGGGAGAGGGGGATCCGGGTTGGAGCTGCAAGTGAAGGTTTGTTGTAGAAGGGACCTGGTTATCTTTCGGCCTTGGCCAGTGGGAATATGAGATAAGAGTAGAGACAGCCACAGCAAAAGGGAAAACACATCGCCTTGAGAATGACAATTTATATGCAATGTAGCAGTCAAAAGCAAGGCAGATATACTGTAAATCCAATTAAGTCGAATTGCGGCGCCCTCAGAACCTCCGTACACAGGGGCTTATCCATGCCGGGTCAGAGAGTTCAAGCCTGGCAGACAATGTCATTCAGCCTCATTTCTAGTGTCTAAAGCCTAGCGTACATCGACAGAGAAACTGGGGACAACTAGTTGCAAGGCGGCTTTTGGCAACTGAGAGGAGACAGTGGGAGATGATCAGTTGCTGAAATCGGTCGATGTGCGCGCTCTTACAACTGGAGATGATCAGTCGGTCTCCAGTTTCAGTCAGTTGCCCGTGTTCTACTTTTCGGCAACTAGTTGTCCTCAGTTTCGGAGATATGACCCGATGTGCGCGCTCCATGCGCCGCTCCGACAACGTGTGTGTATTGCGTGTATTGCGAGCCCGCAACAGTTTATGTCAGAAAACACACTGTAGTTGAGGCCAGTTGCTGTCGATGTACGCGCTGTTATTCCCGAGACTGGTCTGCTACTGGGAGTTGCCCGTTTTCGTCAGATTGTCGATGTGTGCGGGGCAGCAACTCATATGCGACGGATATAATCAGTTGCCAGTCCGATGTACGCTAGGCTTTATGTCCTTCAAGCGAGCGTGTTGCGAGGTATTTAAGCAACTGCTCCACTAGCACAACTCTCCTCTGTCCGGTCACGGCACACGGCTCAAATCCTTGTACATCCCATCAATTTTGTTGGACAGCCGGTCGTGAATTTTATATTTTTATATTTCTATTTTTATGTTTTATTTTATGGACTGCTCCAAACCCAAAAAGGAGGATCCCCACCACCAGAATTCTAAAGATATATACGTCTTCCGAATCTTCAATAGACAGTGGTGACAAACATAGGGGCTCCCAGCTGTCAAGAGTATACCCCGCAGGTGCCGTCCCGTCTGGGCACGAGGGCTCCACCGTTCCTCGCTTACGTGTTGAAAAAATAGTGTCAATTGCGTTGAGGGACCAGTTAATGATATCCATAATTCTTGTTAGAGTTGTCTGTGGCCAAGCTCCAGGAAAAAGACAAAAAATGATAGATAAGATAATACTTTATTGACCTCTCAATGGAGGTCAACAAACACACACACTGTCCAGGTAAATTGCAAAGCATAATGTGTAAATATGATTTGGTCTGCAAGATTTAATAAAAATGTGATTCTTTCACTTGCTAACAAACAAAGATTTCTTGCCTGACATTGTCTTCACTTTTCTGTCTGAAAGATGTAACAGAGACCACGCATACATGCATTTGAAAACTAGAAATAGAGCACAAGAAAATTAGAGCCAGGAACTAGATTGGAGGATTTTATTACATTGAAAGTCAGGTACCCCACCTTTTCATATGTAGCCCTGCTCTGGATGGGCCTCAGTGTTCTCTACTGCATCCCCAGTCGGACATGTGCGTGCCAGGGCCTGGACCCAGATACGTGTGGAGCCTCATTCTCCTTTGGCTGTTCCTGGAGTATGTACTTCAATGGCTGCAAGTTTGCCCGCAGCAAAGTGCCACGGAAGTTCAGACTGCTGGGAGACTACCCAGAGCAGGTACAAGTCCACATCTTGTCCTCAAGCACTGTGTGTATAGCATGTTCTTACACATTTGTTTTGTGTGAAGGAGGAGCAAGTAGAGAACAACCTGCAGGGTCTGGCCACAGAACTGGCTCCTCTTTACAAGAAACTGGCTCCTGAGGCGTACCACAACCAGGTGACATACTGCGCTGGCTTTTGCAACTGCAATCAAAACTAAATTGAATAATTTCCTTCACCTCATTAAATACACTGACTAATACGTCTATGAAGAGAACTTAATTTGCACATTTAAATTTACTGTTCAATTCATATGATTCATCAAAGGCAACAATTCTCCATAATCAGCCTTGCCTTTGCATGTGCAAAAGCAGTATTGTAATCCATTGTGTTCAGTCTATTGGCTTAGACTACAGGATGCGGACTAAGGCGCTGAACAAATGTTCACATGACACGCTGCTCGCGGGGATGCAAGCTTCAAATGTCCTCTCTAGAAGTACTGACTTTCAGAGTAGCAATGAACTTTGGGGCGACAGTGGCTCAGTTGGTACAGCATTGGCCTTAGAGCCTGTAGGTCGTGGGTTCGAGCCCAACACAAGACTTTCTCCACCGACTCCCACTGATGTCTACTGTCATAAAGGGCCAAACTGCCGATGCTTTCTTAAGACACTTCACCCACATTGCATAGAATGAGTCTAGTGTGTATGTGAATTGTTGGTGGTGGTCGGAGGGGTCAATGGCACAAACTGTTTGCATCGCTTCAGTCATTGTGCCCCAGGCCAGTAAGTTATGTATGGAGTGACTTAATAATGAACATGTGAAGCATCTTCACATGAGTGTCCAAAAAAGCGCTATCTAAAACTAATGCATTATTAGCTTCATCCTATTCTTAAAACTCTTTTCATCTTCTCATAATTTTAATCATTTTAGAATGTAGGCTCAAGTAAAATATATAAATAAATATTTCAAAGAAAGTGCTAAATCATATTAAAGGTCCCAAAAATGTACTGCCCCTACTCGTACTGCAATAATACATCCCTGCAGATCACACAGGTGAGTCTGCAGCCCGTGCACCAGTGTGTGCATGTATTTTTAGAGTGCTGGATTGTTGGGTGTGATTATATTGCATAGAGCTGATGGATTTTAAGAAAATGTTGAACTAAATATCTATTTACAATAACGATTCAATCTGAGACTGCTGTTTTGATTCTCAGAAATCCAGGGTTAGGTCAAATAAGTATCAATCTTCAGCCTAGAAAATGTATATAAAATATCAAGAATTGATCTTGTTATAGTAAAAAAGAATATGCTATTCCCCTTTTCCCATGGGAAAGTCTTCATACATGCCTGTGTCTCTGCAGATCGAGCAGGAGTCTTCAGGGCAGGAGTGTCGGCTGGGCTGGAGAGAGGGCCGGCCCTTCTCTGGGGTCACAGCCTGTGTGGACTTCTGTGCTCACGCTCACAAAGACACGCACAACATGAACAATGGCAGCACTGTGGTCAGTCCGCTCACACTGCTCATTTAACACTTTAGACTTTAGAGAGTCACTTAAAAAAAATATTATTTATTTACATACATTTATATTATTGTGCTGTCAAACTATTAAAATATGTATTGTGATAATGTCATAGTTAACCTCAAAGTTGACCCGCCACAAACCAGGCGTCGCTGCGCTTGACTATTCTCTGCTTTAAACACCATTACAGTTCTATTTGGCCTTTATACAAATTCCTATAGTATTTTTTTCCATTGATCCCCTCAAGCTTTAGTCAGAGAGCGATCTTTCTGTTTTATTCTTGAGAGGCACCAAAACAACTCGAGAAACCAACATGGATTTTATTTTGGGCAAAATTATCGTGTTAACGCATGTTAATTACATTTTCCCAAAAAAAAAATCACGCCTTTTACGAACGTCTGAATGACCCGCCCATGTATCCCATAATATCACTCAGAATGCTGCGGACACATCTCTGTGTGAGATGGCAACAGAGCAGGTAGGTCCTCTGGGAATTCAAGTTTTAAAAGAATACACGCGTGACCGCGGGGCACTTGGTGTTGTTTGCTTTATGAACTTTTATTTATTTATTTATTTATTTGATCGGGACAACACACTAGGGATGTAAATCGGCGACCGTTTAACCGGTGGTTGACCGTCACAGCGTTAACCGGTCAAAGTCGGTTAAAAAAAGAGAAAAAGGGGAGAGGGGAGGTCTCTTAACAACGCTATTTTAAGCCCTATTTGCACGGTGTGACGAGCGGGTCTGTATCTAGCTGTGTGCGCCCATGTATTATAAACTCCGGGACGACTCTCACGCCGCACGAGCCACATATGCACACACACACACACACACACACACACACACTTTCCCCCTCTCCATACGTAACATCCACACGCATCATCTCTCCCCTCTGTTACCGTCAAAGTTGCACACTGGCGCGGGTCAGAACTACATTGGAGCTTACATTTACACACACACACACACACACACATACACACATACACACATACATACACACACACATACACACACAGATACCGGTCCGTCGCGCTCCTCTGTGTCACGGAGCCCAAAGGATTCGCGCAAATACGCGGCTCCAGTCAAACCACATGGAACATGTTTGTGTTTATGGTCCTCGGGATCAGCTCCACACACATCACTTGTATTTAAACTTTTGTGAAGACCTGTGAGACGCGGCTCGTCACTCGCTGCTCTGACCATGTGAACGAGCCGTCGTTTGCTGCTAGAAAGTTTTGGTATTAACCCGCAGCACAGCAGAATGGGAAGATTAAAAAAGCAGTTCTCTGTGCGCAAAGGTGCCGGAGCTGTTGCGGGTTTGGGCGCCGCTGTCTCAGCTCTGATCCAGTAGAACGCAGAGCTGCACTTATGAAACGTACGTGGCTCGAAATGGCTGTTATTTCAAAGAACGTGGACTATTTTAAACTACGCGGTTAACCGGTTTCAACCGGTTAATGAGGCTCGGTGGTCGGTCATGAAAATTCATAGTTTTTTACATCCCTACAACACACATTAATAAACAATCACATAGTACAAGTTGTACACAAATTGTAAATGTGCCAGTTTGTAGCAAAACTGCTCATTTACATCCGTAGTCCCCAGGGAGGTCACACAATAATAGTAATACAAAAGACAATATACAACTATACAAATGACAGTTAAAATGACTGCAGGACTTATTTACTTTAAAATGGTGTTTAAGTTGATTTTAAAAGAGCTTATATGTTGGGCATTCTCATGGAGCTCTTCGCGAAAATTCACTGTGGTAGACCCGGCCGCTGCCGCCAGATCTACAAGCCTGCTCATCCTCTACTCATTACACCAGCAAAACGCCCACATCTAATCCACCAATAACCACCAGGACAGCAAGTTAAAAGCCGGAGACGCCCACTTCCCGGCCTTCTGAAGTTTGCAAAGCCTCCGCCGCCCCACCTCCTCCTTCTCTCATCAAAGCGTGCTTGCCTACTGCCTCTGCCGTCACCAGTGCCTAGGCCCCGGGGGGGGATTATGCGCGCGAGCAAGCGCCGCACTCAACAGCATCTCTCCCGGGCCTAGGGCGCCAAACATACTCAATCGACAAACTTCTAACTGCATTTTCCCTCTTGGGTCTCTCCAAAGTGAATTATGTCTGTAGGAAAGTTGTTCCAAGACAGACCTCCTCTGGCTGACAGCACAGTTTGTCCAAATGTAGTTTTTCTGTGTGGGATCTCCACATCTCCTCTAGAGGACGCTCTGGTGCGAAGACCTGTCACTGCCCCAGCAGTGACAGGACTTTTCTCTGCTTTAAACATGATTACAATGCTATTTGGCCTTCATACACAAGCCCACAGTAGTTTATTCATTGATTCTGTCAATCTTTTGTAAGAGAGCAATCTGTCTCCTTCCCCAGCGTGAGGCACAGAAACGCTCGGGTCCACTTCAGTGACGAAAACCACACTGATGACGCGCATGACGCGCATGACCCCGTTTGCTTTGTATTTAAAATAGTTGTTAAATACTTTTGTCAAAACGGGGTAAACAATACACAATTAATATGCTGTTTTTGGTCAAAAATAATAAAAATAAAAATAAATTAAAAGCCGGCGGGAGGTGATTGACGGATCAAAACAGCGAATCAGTGCGCACAGGCTCCGGCTCCCGAGTCCAGCGTCTGTGGTCTGGTCTCGCGGACACCACATAGAGCTGCTGTTTTTCTGCTTTTGTCAGAGACTAAAAGTGTTAGGATCACGTCAACTTGAATGAAGTGTGTTATGGGTGTAAATATGTGACACACTATTTGGCCCTAAGAGGAAGAAAGCGGCTCGACTTTTTTCATCTGTTCATCTCATGGATCTATTATAATACCGGTTCATCTGCGACACTTCACTGAGACTGTTCCAGAACTACAGGGACAATGGAACTGGACTTACTCAAAAGCTGATCTGGAAACACGTTATTCCCACGGTAAAAGACGTAACTCGGACCCCCCCGATCTGTAAGTAGTGACGCTAACTCGCTGTATACTTCTGTAAACTAAATAACTAGGATCTGATTGTGCATCGAGGACATAGGGCTTGATGTGACGGATTGTCAAGTTTATTCTTATGTATGAAATTACTAAGTACAGGTGATAAACGACAAAAGCGTGATGCTACGTCACCGTGCGGGCGGGGGGAGGCGGGCTCACAGGCAGAGGAGCAGACTCTTCTCTGGATCAGCTCGTTTGAGTCGAGGTGACGTCACCTCTATACAAGAGATGGCTCTAATCTCACAAGCTTTGATTGTTGTGTGGTGTATCATACACATTAATATCACACATGTGTATAGGATTGAGTGTGAAACATGAAGAAAAGCGTGATATAGGACCTTTAATGTAGTTTGAGAGTGGGGGCAGGGCAAGACCATGAAGTGCTTTGTAAACAAGGCAACAGTTTTTAAAATTGATAAAGTTTTGAAAATTGAGCATTTTGTATTTCTCCAAGATATTACAGTGATGATATGACCAAGGCTTTTGATCGTGAATTGTAATGGATTTTTTGAAGAGGGTTTCTATGGATTTGATATTTGATAATCCAGTGAGTGACCAGCTTGTTATACAGTAATCTACGGTAACTGAGAGCAGATTTCAACATCATCATTCATTGTGAATAACCCTTTTTTTTTTTTTTGCATGTCTTTTTTTTTTGTGCATGTCTTTGCGTAACCTGTGCATCACCTCCTGCAACTAAACTCGCAAAATTAAAAATGGGTATGTAAATTTTCCCTTTCAGGATCAGCTCATGTTGGTTGTGCCCAAAAGTAAGAGGTTGTGAGCAAATCAAACAGATTTAAGTACATTTGGTATGAATGACAATGTGTCATTACATTTGATAATCTCATTTAACTTCAATTGGAGTGGATTTGAAATATAATGTTAAAAATGTGATTAATTGTGAGTTAACTCACCATTACTATGCGATTAATCAACTAAATAATTTGAACCGTTTGACATTTTTTGAAACAGGAGGAAAAACAATGCTATTAGGACGCAAAACATTTTGGCCTGATGCGGGTTGAGAGTATAATTCTACAATGACTATTTAGGTTGACATTAGAAAAATGGACACGTTTAATTGGATAGGAGACTGATGGATGCAGACCTGCAGTTTCTTCTGACCCTATTAAGAAGCAGTGAAGTTTCTCAGAAAGACACTAGTGATCACAATGTTCTCTTTGAATAACATGGTACCATATGAAACCTCTTGTGTGTGCTGGGGCAGGTTTGCACTTTAACCCGGGAGGATAACCGTGCGGTGAGGAACATCCCTGAGGACGAGCAGCTACACGTGCTGCCTCTGTACAAGATCTCGGATCGAGACGAGTTTGGACAGGCCCAGGGCCAGTGGGCCAAGATACGGACTGGGGCCCTGCAGGTGCTGTCCTCATTCCCCCGTGAGGTACATGCATTACATTACATTTGTTATATTTGTTACTGAATACAAACAGATTCCTCCCGTTATGGCTTTACCATTAGACCACCATTGCATATAATAGTAAGCACAATCGACTTAACTGTCAATGAAGAACGCACTCAAAGCAGTAAGTTTTGCATCACACAAAAAGTTTTTATCTGCTGTCTCAATTTTTCAAAGGCGTCCCGATATAAATCCTTGTTTTAGTCTTTGTTTTGTCATTAATGATTTGAGAATCATAACAAGACCTTTTTTAGTTCTGTGGCCACATGTCATTTAACCAGTGAGATTAGGTTCCGCTGGGAGTTCTGGCAACTCGGACCACGGACTTCCTGACTGGCGAAACGGCGGAGGGTGGGACATCAAAATGAAAACAATAACAACTTTTACGGGTCGTAACACTAATTTTCATATTCAAATATCTCGGCTGACCATTATCACTTAAAGATGAATTCAAAAAGAGCATGATTTAATAATGCCTTTTGAAATAATGGGGCCATTTAATGATGACTTGACATGCAAATATTACTATTGCTACTTTAACTAAGATTACTTCATTTTAAATGTCGTGTGATCTGGGGACTCATAAAATATGTAGACATAATCTTAAATTAAAATACTATGGTGTAATAGTAGTTTGTAATTCCCTGCTCTAACAGTAGCCAATGTGGCAGGTGCGCATGTTGGCAGAGCCTGTGAAGTCTGTGCGAAGGATGAGACAGGATGCCCGCCTGCGCGCCCAGGCAGAGCGGCTGGAGAAGAAGCTGGGTCTGAGTCCTCTTGCGGTCAAAGTCAAACCAGAGCCCAACTGCAAAGGTAAAACTGAGCGTCATAGGAAAGGGGTTAATAAAGACGTATGTGAACCATTGCGTGAGGTGTGAAAAACCAGTCGGTTTAGAGGAGCTAGTGGGTTCTAATGGGTTTGAGCTGCATCCAACCACATAAACCGGATTGGAATAAGACATTAGGCAGTGATGCTTAAAGAGCACAGGGGAAAGCCAAGCTTATATTAGAAATGTACATGTATTTGATCAAAGTGTTCTCCTTGGGTCTGGCTTTTCCAAAGAGATTTGAATATTTGAAGTCATTTTCCTAACTGTGTTTTACAAATAAAACATTTATTTGTATTTTTCCCGTTTCCAGACCCTGATTTTGGCTCCTACAAACTTCTGCCTCGCCCCGGCAGCGTGGGCATGTACCCCCCTGAGCGAGCCTACCAAGGCAGTTGCCTCCAGAGCCCCAGCAGCAGCCTCCCCCACCCCAGCCCACACCGCAAACTTTTCACTCCGGACCCCAGGCAATACGCACAAAGCCCGCAACCATACAGGACAGCCAGCTCGCCGCTCCACAGACTTCCTCAAGACCACCACAACACTGCGTTCAAAAGCGAGCCCAGGGAGACACACTGCTCATCCCCGAGAGAGTATGTGTTCTCCCCGCAGCCCACTGCGGAGGGCCTCTTCAGCAGGCTCTCTTCGATCCAACTAGAACCTTCTGTTTTATCCATACCCCCCCACGAAGACGCTCAAGAGGAGGTGTGGTCAGACAGCGAGCACAACTTTCTGGACCGCGAGATTGGAGGAGTCGCCGTGGCGCCTTCTCACGGCTCCATTCTGATTGAGTGCGCACGCAGGGAGCTTCACGCAACCACGCCCATCCTCAAACCGGACAGAAGACACCCCACACGCATTTCTTTAGTGTTCTACCAGCACAAGTCGCTAAACGAGCCGGGGCATGGGGCGGCCATGTGGGACGCGAAGATGGCCAAGCGTGAACGCGAAAGGGATGAGGAAGCGGAGAGGGAACAAGGACGGAAGAGGAAAATAGGAGAAAGTGAGGAAAAAGCAGAAGAAGAGGAGACAGGGAAGGTTGGGAGCATCCCCACACGACAGACATGGACGCGGCCGCGAGACGGGGTGGTCACTGTGTCGCCCTATGCACTCACACACGTAACTGGGCCTTATAATAGATGGACTTAGATGTCTTATATGAGCTGTTTTAAGTGTACGGCTGTTACTGGGGTGACACTGAGGTGAGTCATGTTTGGTAGTTAGAAAGATTTTTAAAGCATTACAATTTGCAGAGAAAAATACTTATTTTTATTAATAATTAGTGCTGTCACAATACCACATTTCAAATTCAATTTAAATACTATAAAAAAAATTGATACCATGTAGGTGGTATGGTACTATAAAGAAACTGTATTTTTTCATTAAAAAAATCTAAAAGCTCTATTGAGATACTAGATATAAAATACTAGTTTTTTTATACCTAGTGCACATAACTCGACAGTTTTCCTCATGAACAGCCCTCGCACATGTTCTTCTGCCTTACCTCATTCATGTTTCAGCTTAGTTTGGATCCAAAACATCAAACTGTGAGTGTGCTGTCGCTTTTCATTGAACAAACAAGATGTGATTATTTATTCAGAGGTTTTTTTTTTCTGGCAAGAGCCTGTTTACTGCAAGACACAATGTTTTGCAATCGCTCCATTAGCCACTTAACTACTGTATATTGCTTCTGATTGCAAAGTACTTACAAACTTCTCAACGTTACAAGAAATGGTTCTTTTACATTAATTTAAAACTAGTTGAAAGTGCCATTGACTTACTACTATGTCACATGTAGCATTATCTGCATCTCTCCGCACTCTACAAAGGTTTATTTTTGGCGGCAATCTTTGTGGCAAGGTAAACAGCACTTTTTTTATTTTTTGTATCACTTGAATAGCAAAGAGCATTAATAGTCATTCAGTGTTTTTTTGTTGTTGTTAAAACTGTCTTTTTATAACTACCATTTATATCACACCATGGATATACATGATGGTGCTTCTTAGCATGTACCGTTAAAATGTATTTTTTACGGGGCATAATCATTACTACAATGTACAAACGGTGCTACAGTACAGAAACATATTTTTTAAGAGAATCTTGGACATATTCACCAAATGTCTTTATACACAATTTTTATTTGTATGGATTTTGTCACTGAAATTGTTCAAGTGTGATTTTTTATCTGTGGAATGTTTTTTTTTTTTAAACAGAACGCAAAATGGCGGGTTTTTTTGTTTTGTTTTGTTATATTATTGGAGATAAATTAGCCTTATAAAAAGAAAGCAGCAGTGAAAAAATTAGGCATGCTTGTGTTCTTGCGCTCTTGTAACACTAGTTGGTTAATAATGTTAAGTAATCTATGGGTTGCCATTTCGGTCAATAATTCATTTTTTTTAATGCAACTACAGTGTTAGTGTACACAGGTAGATTTTTCCTGTTACATGCAAAATTTGGGGGACCTTTCCATTCGAAAGATATACTGTACTTGCTGGACTATCAGCCGCACCTGCTTAATTTTCTAAAAGAAAGTAATTTTTCTACCTATAAACCACACTTTGATATAAGCCGCGGGTTGTTGTAATGAAATACTAAAGCAACCTCTGTGTGACAAACATAGACTGAAAAATATTAACGGACGTAGTCACGCCTATGTCCACCATTCTAACTAAGGTGCGACAACTTCCTCGGTCTATGGGCAGTTTCAAAATGGCCGCAGGGGCTGGAAAATGTAAAAAACCGCATCTGTGCATGCGTCAGCTGGCACAAGCCCCATTCATTTTGAGTGCCTTCAAAATTTCACAGCAACTTAACTATAGTGGTCCAAAAAAATTCACTTGCCTCAGCATTGACACACATGTGGAACGTAGCTTTGGGCCAAGAGCCAACTTTTGGACCATCCTGTACAGAAGTTTTTGAGAGGTCAACCAATGCTATATGTTAGCATTGAATAATTCTTATTCCGGGTCCACCCCCATCAGCCCGGGGTGGTATTGCAAGCATGTCAGCACCATAGACTGTATATATTAACGGACAGAGTCACGCCTATCTCCGCCGTTCTAACTAATGGGCCAAAAAATGTGCTCTACTGGAGCTATCCAAAATGGCCGCAAGTGGTCACAAGAAAATTGTGAAAAAACGCATCCGCGCATGCGTCAGCTGGCGAGAGCTCCATTCATTTGAACGAGAGACTTCAAAAATTCACTGCGACTAAACTAGAGTGGTCCAAAAAAATTCACCCCCCCTCAGCATTGACACACATGTGGAACGGAGCTTTGGGCCAAGAGCCAGCTTTTGGACCATCCTGTAAAGACGTTTTGGAGAGGTCTGCCAATGCTATATGTTAGCATTGGCTAATTCTTCTTCTGGGTCCACCCCCATCAGCCCGGGGTGGTATTGCAAGCATGTCAGCGCACGTCATTTTGGCCACTTTTGAGCCGGGACCCGCCCCCACTGGTGACAAGGCGGTAAAGTGTGTAGTAACGAATGGCCGGTTTGTTACACTCTGATAGAACAAAACAAAGTTGCTAATTGCTCACAACATGATTTAATGACGAGGTGTTTAACGCATTGTTGACTTGTGATGATCAAAGCATTCCAGTAAATAAAGACTTTTTTGTCAATAAACGTCCTTCCGATCCCTACTAAACAATGTACAAGTAAAACAAACAAAAAATGGGATGCTCTAAAAAAATAAAAATGCATACATTAGCTGCATTGCTGTAAAGACAGGGTTCAAAAGACAAAAGGTAGCGGCTTACAGACCAGAAAATACTGTTATCATGTTTTTAATCGGCATGGCAGCGGGCCTAGTTGATCTAATATATGCCTCAATACATAGGAAACTGTAATCTGTATACTCAATCAATTCTGAATGTTATCATTTTTAAGCTATTAATTATTCTGTTGGATTCATATTTCATACTGTAGACAACACCTTGTACCATATCACTGGTCACATTTCAGAAACACGCTGGTCAACTCACTACTTGGTGCTAAACTGTGGAGTCCATGCACTGACAAAATATCTTGGTGCTATTATGAGCATAAATCACAAGCCTTGTCAAAACTTATCATTATTATTATTATTATTATGACATATTTTCTATACAATTTAATGTCAATAAAGTGCCAGAACATTGTTTTTAAGTCTTCCTCAATTGCAAAATGTAATGAATGTAACTCATTTCAAGTTTATGATTTGTTTGGAACTCTGCTCACAACTGAACCGCACCAGCATTTTTACAAACTAAAGACACATTTTTAACCATGACAAATTGTAATGTAAATAATCTGTCTGTGACGCAGGCTGTTTTTATTGTATCGTTAAAATGGTGTTTTAGACAATGGATGCTTATTTTCAATGACTGTATGTTGCATTATGTATATTTCTTGTTTAGAAAAACATTTTTAGCATTCTTTTTATGGATGGCTCTTTTGGAATTGTAAAAATAAAATTGTATTTATATTTTGGACCTGATCCTGTCTGCTTGTCTCTGTTCTTCATGGAGTGTAAATGAAAAGTGATGAGTGGAGTCCTGGTGCTTTTGGAAACAATTTACAAAGAAATAACATTTTTCTCATTCATAATTGTAACATGTTTTTTTCTCTTTATTACTCAATAATGTACTTTATTTGAAAACCTAAACAACCAATTTGATTCAAAAGGTAAAAAATGTAAATGTGCACTTAATTTTTCCCTGTAGGGAACTTTGTCCTCTGTATTTGACCCATCCTGTAATGCTACTAGGGCATTTTTAAAAATAAACTAGATGCTGATACTGAAGTATTTATGTATATTAATTTATCTCGTTGGCTTTGGCAGCTAATTGTAACGCATTTTCAATATAATAGTACTTTTTCTTCAGTACAAAAAAAAATCTCCCTTCCTCACTACACATCTTTATGGAAGCCCGTTTCCGCCATGTAAAAAAAAAAAAAAAAAAGCCTACAGAAAGTCAAAATGTCGACTTTAAAAGTCAAAATTACGACTTTAAAAGTCCACGGCTGAAAGGATGCGCTTTCTACGTGTTGAGTACGGGGTTTTATTCATGCATCTATAATGGGTTTATCTATTTCTAACCCTTTTCAAAGACCCTCACTGTTATCTGCGGAGTTATTTCTCCGGATTGTTGCTAAAAGAGTCGTGGGCTTTATTTTGTCACAATAAAATAATCAGACAAGGCACTTATTCCCTGTATGTCTCTGTGTTCTTGCTCATACGCCAACAACTTTACCACACGCTCCATCAGCTCACCCCCGCGTGCACGCAAACACGTCACATACTCTTCAATGCACTGATCGCAATTCCAAAAGGGTATTATTGTCAGTGCCCGTGACTGTGGTTCTCCTGCCTCTGTCTGTGGTTCTCCTGCCTCTGTCTGTGGTTCTCCTGCCTCTGTCTGTGGTTCTCCTGCCTCTGTCTGTGGACCTCCCTCACTATCCAGTAATCGCGAACGGTCTCTCTGTCAGTCACAATAATATTCACTGCATTTCTGGTGCATCCATCGATAGCCGTGATACTGACCAGATGTCACCAGTTGATGCTCAATGACTTTGAACAGCCACATGTGTTTTATTATTAATCTTCCACAGTCCGTTTAGGATAAACTAAATAGAGGCTTCTGAAGCGGATTCTAATCATAAACGGAGAGACCGTTTGCATTTTAACGCGATTACTACCACAACATTATTGCTGCTACTTCATGGATGTGGTCACTGTCTGTAGGCAAAATCTTCACATAATCTGCAGGTAGAGGATGACCCATGGTCATAGATCTATAACAGGGATGACCAGAGACCGTTCCAGACAACAACACATACGAGTTTTCAACTGCACATGCGCAGTTGAAAACTCGTAATTTTGACTTTTAAAGTCAAAATTTTGACTTTTAAAAGTCAAAATTTTGACTTTCTGTAGGCTTTTTTTTTTTTTACATGGCGGAAACGGGCTTCCATACATCTTGGTAGACAAGCCCTAATAATTTAAAGTAGTGTGACAGACATATGTTCAGACATATTTATGTTTTGATTTATACACCTACCAGACACAGAGGGTAAGCTGTACAATTGCAAACGTCTAGGTAATTATTAGTTTTATATTTTGTGTAATTTACTGTGACTCATTATAATGATGCAGTTTTAACAAAATACTCCACTATTATAAAACCCATGTATGTAGGATAGAACTGATAGTTACATACTATTGCTACAGCATTTGTCAGCCAATTAATGAAAAACCAAAATATGTATGTTTTTAACATATGTACAGCCTATTAAATAAATACTCATATCAAATACATAAATTCTTTATTAAAGTGTAGTGTCGAAAGTGCTGCAGGAGTTTTCGTAGGTACACGAACGTGCGGAGAGTGAGCACTGGCGCTGATCGGGCAGAACATTTCCACAGTCAAGATGGCGACATCGGAGCCGGTAAGAGCCAAGCCAAATGACTGCTTTATCATACATATTCCGCACTTTTAGCCAACATGCATCACCCGTATGATAGACAACAACACTCGCCCAAGCACCTCGCCAGTGTGGTAAATTTCAGAGGAAAACGGCACAACTATCCCCGCAGTTGTAGCTTCGGCGTGGGTTTTTTAGTTAGCCTCAAGTTAGCTAGCTGTAAAGTGATGACTTTGTGGAGCAGGGAGCGGCGTTCATTCATACTCTTGTCTCGCTGTGCATTAGTTCTCAAATTAACAGCAGCTATTAACTGGCCGATAAACTGTATCTTTATCACGTTTTGTTTTCAATCAGATACTGTACGAGGCTCTCAGATGTCATGAATGGAGTTAGACACGCGTGGCTCTTCGCAGTCGTGTTAGCATACCGCCATCTGCTAAAACGAGGGGCTGAAGGAAATATCATTATCAAACATCGAACAGTGGTGATTGTTTACTTAGCTAAGATAAGAATCGAAATGATCCAAAGCTGACGAATAATTGCGAACACTGAATGAATGAAGTTGTAGTTGTAGCTCTAACATAACAATTGGATTGGTTTAATCATCTTATTCTTGAGACACATTTTTGTAACGTTATACTTTTTGTCATTTAAAATAATGGTATATCATATTTTCATTGCATAGTCACCAAGTTATTTTTTGTGTACTTATTATGATTACTTAAATAGGACCGCAGCCACCACGAATAGTGTAGCTATGTTTGTCAAAAGTATACAAATAATAATTCAATCAAATATCAACTTTAGATACTCTTTTTAGAAAGTATCGAAACAGATGATTTTGGTGTATATTAGTACTAGTTCAAAACATAGGTTCCCTAAAAGCAATATGTACCCTAATGGTGCCAATTTAAAGCATTGGTATCAATTAAAATTGTGACTATTAAGCGAACAATTGCATGTTTTTTTCTTGTTTACACACTTGATCTCACTTGTATGTAAAGGAAAATATATTTTCCCTTTTAAATAAATTGTTTGTTGTAATTGTGCACTGCTGAAATGATTAGCTGTAGCATGGCAATGAAGGAATACTCTATATTACATCATTATGTAGGTAGGTTTACATTTTGAATCGTGCTAGAAGATGCCATTCCAAATGACAGATTATTACAGTATTGGGGGCATTTAGTCAATCAAAAGCTTTAACTACAACAACGAGACCAATAAAACTGTTATTGAGCCTCTGTGTTTTACTATGTGACACTTCTCGCCACAAATATGTAAAATGACACCACGTTTTGTTAATAAAGGGATTTCTGTTTTGAAGTATAGATCTCTAATGTGCATTGTGAAACTTGTCTCAGCAGAAAGCAACTGAAACTGAAGATCAACCCACCGAGAGTTCAGCCATTGCGACCTCAGAGCAGGACATCAAGCACCCTTTGCAAAACAGGTGAGGCCTAAAGGGAAGTGTGGGTCCATTAGAACAGTGGTTCCCAAAGTGGGGGTCGCAAGATGATTTCCAAAAACAAAAAAATAATGAGCAAATGAATAGCCCTTAAATATTTATTTTGCATTTGATTTGATTCAAAAGGATTACTTGTTAAATTTTGTTAGGAGAATGTAATATATTTTAATTACGTTGTCCCAGTCATTGACAGCGTCAATCAAAATTAAGTTACGCAGCTCACATCCTGCAGCAACAAAGCGTGTCCTGCTGCTGTTTGCTAAAACTAAAGGTGTTTGGAGGCTACAAACAAATAATACCTGCTTTAAAATGAAACATGGTTAATATCCACAACAAAAAAACCCGGAGGGGGTGAAAAGTCAAGGGTCAGGCTGATGGTGCGAAGAGAGGGAGAGAGGGCAGCGGAGAGAGAGAGGGCAGTGGAGGGAGAGAGGGCAGTGGAGGGAGAGAAGGCAGCGGTAGAACAGCGTAGTAAAGAGGCCCGGCTTTTCGGAGTCAGTGGTAAAGAGGTCCGCACATTAAAAGCGGGTGGCCGGTTTATGCTGTTACTTATATTAACTTTGGAAAAAGAAGCCGCGGGGGAGGAACCGCATGAAGTAACAGCATAAAGCGGGAGGGCCGCAGAGCATTTCCTGGTTTTAACCCCTTTGGAGAGAGACCTCTGTCTAGCTCCACCCATTTAAAGGAGGGGTTTGATATTTAACCTGGTTTAGGGGTTTAATGGTGGTTTGCATCATTGCTGTTTAACTGTGTGCAGGCTTTGTTACTGTCTGTGCAGTAATTGCTTCTTGTTTATGTTTACAGATGCATATTACTGTATATTAAAGCATATTCCAGCCGAGTGGGAGGAGCCAGTCAATTTAGGCCATGTATATACAGTACCTTGCGAAAGTATTCGGCCCCCTTGAACCTTTCAACATTTCGCCACATTTCAGGCTTCAAACATAAAGATATAAAAAATATTTTTTTTGTCACGAATCTACAACAAGTGGGACACAATCGTGAAGTGGAACGAATTTAATTGGATAATTTAAACTTTTTTAACAAATAAAAAACTGAAAAGTGGGGCGTGCAATATTATTCAGCCCCCTTGCGCTAATACTTTGTAGCGCCACCTTTTGCTGCAATTACAGCTGAAAGTCGCTTGGGGTATGTATCAGTTTTGCACATCAAGAGACTGGAATTCTTGCCCATTCTTCCTTGCAAAACAGCTCGAGCGCAGTGAGGTTGGATGGAGAGTGTTTGTGAACAGCAGTCTTCAGCTCTTTCCACAGATTCTCGATTGGATTCAGGTCTGGACTTTGACTTGGCCATTCTAACACCTGGATACGTCTATTTGTGAACCATTCCATTGTAGATTTGGCTTTATGTTTTGGATCATTGTCCTGTTGGAAGATAAATCTCCGTCCCAGTCTCAGGTCTTTTGCAGACTCCAACAGGTTTTCTTCCAGAATGGTCCTGTATTTGACTCCATCCATCTTCCCATCAATTTTAGCCATCTTCCCTGTCCCTGCTGAAGAAAAGCAGGCCCAAACCATGATGCTGCCACCACCATGTTTGACAGTGGGGATGGTGTGTTCAGGGTGATGAGCTGTGTTGCTTTTACGCCAAACATATTGTTTTGCATTGTGGGCAAAAAGTTCAATTTTGGTTTCATCTGACCAGAGCACCTTCTTCCACATGTTTGGTGTGTCTCCCAGGTGGCTTGTGGCAAACTTTAAACGAGACTTTTTATGGATATCTTTGAGAAATGGCTTTCTTCTTGCCACTCTTCCATAAAGGCCAGATTTGTGCAGTGCACGACTGATTGTTGTCCTATGGACAGACTCTCCCACCTCAGCTGTAGTTATCTGCAGTTCATCCAGAGTGATCATGGGCCTCTTAGCTAAATCTCTGATCAGTCTTCTCCTTGTTTGAGATGAAAGTTTGGAGGGACGGCCGGGTCTTGGTAGATTTGCAGTGGTCTGATACTCCTTCCATTTCAATATAATTGCTTACACAGTGCTCCTTGAGATGTTTAAAGCTTGGGAAATCTTTTTGTATCCAAATCCGGCTTTAAACAGCACAACAGTATCTGGGACCTGCCGAGTGTGTTCCTTTCTCTTCATGGTTCTCTCTGCGCTTTAAACAGAACCCTGAGACTATCAAAGAGCAGGTGCATTTATACGGAGACTTGATTACATACAGGTGCATTCTATTTATCATCATCAGTCATTTCGGACAACATTGGATCATTCAAAGATCCTCACTGAACTTCTGGAGTGAGTTTGCTGCACTGAAAGTAAAGGGGCCGAATAATATTGCACGCCCCACTTTTCAGTGTTTTATTTGTTAAAAAAGTTTAAATAATCCAATAAATTTTGTTCCACTTCACGATTGTGTCCCACTTGTTGTTGATTCATGACAAATAATTAAAATTTTATATCTTTGTTTGATGCCTGAAATGTGGCAAAATGTTGAAAGGTTCAAGGGGGCCGAATACTTTCGCAAGGCACTGTATGCCAGGTGTGCTGGCTCTTCTAGGAAAAGAGAGGCACTTTCCATGTTGGTTTTGGAGAGAGAACATGTATATTTGGGAGCACTGTAAATAAATCCACCCTTTTTGTTACAAGTTTTGGAGCCTTTGTTTTGTTCTTCTGCCACTTTATCCACTTTTGCTACACTACCTCACAATGCCCATTTTTTTTTTTTAAGATATATAACGAGCTAGAGCATTAAGTGACGCACTATTGCATATTACACTACTTTACCGATTGACTCAAATGTACCCTATGGGCAATAATCAGCTCTATGTGTATTAAAGTTTTCGTGCGTATGCTTTTATTCAGTTTTGTCACTTGCTCAAGAATGGTTTGTTTATGCACTAGAAAGCCAGTGTAACTCATGTTTCAGAGGCTGTTCGTGTGTGTGGCTCTTCGTTGGGTGAATGGTCCGTGGCCTCTTCCAGACTATTCTGCTTGTTTAGCTAACCTCAGAGCTTCCACCTGCCCTCACTCAATATGTCATGTGACCCAGCACAGACCATCTATGAGCGCCTTTGTTGGTCCCTTGCATATGTAGAAACTATACATGATGGGTTTTAGATGTTGTGATGACAGACCGGTGTGGAACATAAACAATTATTTATATAACAATTATATTATACAATTATGTATATGTATAACAATGTTATAATAATTAATTTATATAGCACCTTTTTGAACACTCGAAGACTCTTCACATGTTGTTATTCATTCACTCCATACACATTGGTGATAAATTACTACTGCAGCCACAGCTGCCCTGGGGCACACTGACAGAAGCAAGGCAATCAGTATGTGCCATTCGCCACTCTGAATACCACCAAACATTCACACGCATACCAGACTCATTCAGGACAATGTTTATCATCATCTTTATGCAGGACTAGTCACTGCATCAAAGGTGGAGCTTCTTGGTTCGGACCACTTTCTTGTCCAGAGTGAGATGCTGAATGCTTTGTTAGCATTTTTCAAAAAGTTAGCTAATACAGTATTAGCTATACAGCATCTTGATGGAAATAATACAGACACTGACCACTATTATGGTCTTGTCCTACTAGATTTAGTCCTCATTTAGCCCCATGCATGTCCTGTTTTTGACCTGGGTAGATAAGGTGCTTCTTGTTAAGCCACTTAAATACCTGTGGTGGGAGGAAGATTATTTGAAGTTATAATCTGAATGCTATTTTGTTCCAGCCCTTCTTTGGTCATTGAAGTAGAAAAAGTTTTACTAAATTATAACCCATCTTCATGAACCAACTTTCCTGTGTGCCTCACGTGTGCCTGTCTTTGACCCAGTGCCCTTCTATCCCTGCTCTGATCCCGCCACCCCTCTGTCCTCGTGTGACACCGGCTCGTGTAGCGACAGGCTCTAGAGCACAGGGTTCAGGGCCGGAACTCCCCACCCCTTATTCCTTCCCTCCCTCTGATGAGAGCATAAACAACAGCAGTTTGTTGAAGGCTCTCCCAGCATGACTGATTTACTTGCAAAGCAACCGTCCAACCATTTGTCTTCCTATTGGGCAGTTATTGTCTGTATCTGTCCACTCTTTAATCAGATCTCTTCTGTTCCTGCAGGTGGGCTTTGTGGTATTTTAAAAATGACAAGAGCAAAAGTTGGACAGAAAACCTACGTCTGATTTCAAAGTTTGACACAGTGGAAGATTTTTGGGCGTAAGTGAATGCTGCATCACAGACTTCCCACAATATTATTTGAAATGACAGGCTGCATATAGTAGATTGAATAGCACATAACACACATGCTGCACAATCCAATTGTGTCAAGTTACATTTAATGGTGCCAAAGTAGTAGAAACATGGCTGTAGTGAAAAGGTGTTAGGGTTTCGGCCAGAGGGACAGCGGATGGAGACCAGCGTCGGGCGGATGAATTTAACCAATATATCAGTCGGTTTGATCTCCCCCCTCTGCATCTGCCCCCTTTCCCGCCCCCACCTCTTCACACGTCTCCAGCCCAGTGGACACTGCCTTCGGCTGCCCCCACTTCCCCAGCCCCCACCTCTGACAGTACACCCCGGTCTCCCCCCACTCCCCCCTCTCCATCACACCGGATCAGGTGAGGAGTCAGCTCAAGCGACTGAAGCGGAGGAAATCTGCAGGACCGAAGTAGACTGAACAAGCTGGTCAGGAGGGCCAGCTCCACTCTGGGCTGCCCTCTGGACTCTGTGGAGGAGGTGAGGGACAGGAGGGTGCTAGTCAAAGTCACCTCCTTCACGGACAACACCTCCCACCCACTGCACAGGACTATATAGAAGCTGAGGAGCTCCTTCAGAGGAAGACTGAGGCACCCTCAGTGCAAGAAGGAGCGCTACCGCAGGGCCTTTATCCCTACCGCTGTCAGACTGTACAATAAGTCACTTGCATTAGGACGAAAAACCTGCACTACTATTGACACTGTTTCTTGATTGCCACTTTTTTATTGTACATAATATATCCTGCATTTAACATTCACATTTCTTTCTTTTGCACAATCTTGAGTGTTTCTATCCATGCCAGATGTGACATGTAAATTTCTCCTGTGTGAGTTCAATAAAGTCAATCTTATCTAAAGAGTGACTGGATGATTCGGATGATTACTAAAATTTATTCTTTTTACAGGCTATACAACCACATACAGCAACCTAGCAAACTCGGATTTGGCTGTGATTATTGCTTATTTAAGGTAATAAAATCACCTGTGATGAATTCCAAGCTAGTCATGCACAAATTCTACCGAAAGCTGCAAGACAAGTGTGTGTCTGTGTGTGTGTGTGTCAGGATGGGATCAAACCCATGTGGGAGGACGACAGGAACAAGCTGGGTGGCCGGTGGCTCATGACCCTCAACAAGCAACAAAGACACAACGATCTGGACCGCTACTGGATGGAGACGGTGAGGCGTGCTCAGCTTTAAGGCCAGAAAATACAAAAGGCCAAGCAACCAATTTGCTACCTCCACTGCAGAATAAAATTGAAATTGTGACTATATTCAAATGGTTAATTGTAATATCTAGCCTAATCTCACACAGAATACTGTTTTTGTCTCAAAATGCTTTTTGAAAAATTCCTTGCGCTCCATTGCAGTTTTCACATGCATGTATTCTTTTCACCTCGAGTGCAGTTAGATATGGAGGACCAAAAATGACTAAAGTATAAATAAATAAATAAATAAATACAGGAATATATTAATAAATACATTCATTTTGGACAATAAAAACTAAATATTTACATTGATGTGTTAAATATTACTATGAAATCAAATAAATATACTTTTATTTAGGTTATTTATCAATATCTACATTTTTTCCTTTATTTATTTATCCATTTATTGCATATATTTATTTATGTATTTCTACATTTCTTCATTTATTTATTTATGTATTTCTACATTTCTTCATTTATTTATTTATGTATTTCTACATTTCTTCATTTATTTATTTATGTATTTCTGTGTCGCTACATTTCTTCATTTATCTATTTATGTATTTCTACATTTCTTTTATTTATTTTATGTATTTCTACATTTCTTCATTTATTTATTTATGTATTTCTACATTTCTTTTATTTATTTATGTATTTCTGTGTCGCTACATTTCTTCATTTATCTATTTATGTATTTCTACATTTCTTTTATTTATTTATGTATTTCTACATTTCTTCATTTATTTATTTATGTATTTCTACATTTCTTCATTTATTTATTTATGTATTTCTGTGTCGCTACATTTCTTCATTTATCTATTTATCTATTTCTACATTTCTTCATTTATTTATTTATGCATTTCTACATTTCTTCATTTATTTATTTATGTATTTCTGTGTTCCTGTATGCTAATTAGGTGGGCGGTGCTGAACTCAATGATTGGTGGGCAGTAGGGCAACCAGACAGAAGCAAAGTTAAGCCTAGCGTACATCGACAGAGAAACTGGGGACAACTAGTTGCAAGGCGGCTTTTGGCAACTGAGAGGAGATGATGGAGATGATCAGTTGCCGAAATCGGTCGATGTGAGCGCTCTTACAACTGGAGATGAACAGTCGGTCTCCAGTTTCAGTCAGTTGCCCGTGTTCTACTTTTCGGCATCTAGTTGTCCTCAGTTTCGGAGATATGACCCGATGTCCGACAGCGTGTGTGTATTGCGTGTATTGCGAGCCCGCAACAGTTTATGTCAGAAACACACTGTAGTTGAGGCCAGTTGCTGTCGATGTACGCGCTGTTATTCCGAGACTGGTCTGCTACTGGGAGTTGCCCGTTTTCGTCACATTGTCGATGTGTGCGGGGCAGCAACTCATATGCGACGGATATAATCAGTTGCCAGTCTGATGTACGCTTGGCTTTAGCCTTCTCGGTTTGTGAGAGGATGTGAAGCTGCTGCTTGTTGAAGAGCGTCCAGCACAGTTGCATCAAAGTCTACCTCTGGGTCAGCACTGTGATGAACTAAAACATCTATAGTCTTTCCAGCCGAAAGAGTAGATAGTCCTCAGGTGCATTATGCTCAACATCATTAACATCATTTGCTAATGCTCTTAATTGATGAGCAATGGCTCCTAAAAAAACTTACATTCGAAACTGCCATCATACCACACAAAAGTGCACAGAGGATCTCAAGCTAGAGGCAGGAATGATCGAGACCAGAGTTCACGCAATCCTAACCAATCCTGTTCTAGATTGAGTTCAGCACCGCCCACCTAATTAGCATACAGGAACACAGAAATACATAAATAAATAAATGAAGAAATGTAGAAATACATAAATAAATAAATGAAGAAATGTAGAAATACATACATAAATAAATGAAGAAATGTAGAAATACATAAATAAATATATGCAATAAATGGATAAATAAATAAAGGAAAAAATGTAGATATTGATAAATAACCTAAATAAAAGTATATTTATTTGATTTCAGAGTAATATTTAGCATATCAATGTAAATATTTAGTTTTTATTGTCCAAAATGAATGTATTTATTAATATATTCCTGTATTTATTTATTTATTTATACTTTAGTCATTTTTGGTCCTCCATAGTTAGAAAAGGTAACCACCCTCACTCAGCCATGTAGTTCTCAGCCTAAAACTTCAAATGGTGACTCACAGGTTATGTTATCAATGAACAATGAAGACTGAGTTGATTCTTTCTGTAGCTTTAAACAAAATGTACTCATGAAGCAAAAGTCAGCTGGTCGGTCATATAAACCCTTCTCTCAAATCATTCCAGACGTGTTGACATGATTCTGATAACTGTCAGAAGCATGTGTGTGTTGTCTCTCCGACTCTGCCCCTGACACACCTGTTTCCGCAGCTATTATGTTTAGTAGGAGAGTCGTTTGACGAGGCAAGTGAGGACGTGTGTGGCGCCGTGGTCAATGTGCGGCCTAAGGGAGACAAGATTTCCATTTGGACCAGTAACTGCCAAAACAGAGACGCCATCATGACGATAGGGTGAGTGACCATTTTTTTGCAGAATACGTTCTCATTCAAAATTATTCAAAAGGTGTGTTGGTGCGCTTTGGACGTACGTTTATTAAAATTCCGACACAATACTTAAGTAAAAATCAACGCAATCAGCGGACACAGCAGAGTAAAAAAGGAGACTCTGCGTTTCAAGTTTGCAGGTCTGAATATAACCGCCAACATTATGTTTATGGTGCCTCAAAAAGTCATGGAAAACTTAATTCGTTTTGGACTTATAGATAGTTTGTAAAATATCTATATATTTATAAAAATCTAAAAAGGTCATAGTATGTTTCATTACTTAATAGCAGGCTCTTTGACTGAACCTGCCCTATTCTGAGTAATGCCACCCTACAAGCAGCAGATGGCGCCATATCACTAATCCAGTTCTCCTGTTTCTCTGGTCCGCAGGCAGCAGTACAAGGAGCGGCTGAACATCCCCATTAAAGCCCTGCTCGGATACCAATCCCACGACGATACGTCAAGCAAGAGTGGCTCCACCACCAAGAACATGTACTCCGTCTAACCCAGCCAGTCTAGACTCACCCAGGCCCCAGACCACGGTAACACCCACCTCATCTGTAGTGCCCCCTCCTTTTTAAAAAGTCCTCCACACATCACTTTTATCTTCTACGGGAGCAGCTGTCCCTCGCCTCAACAACTGAAAATAGGCTGCTTGTCCTCCATGGAACTATGTTTTAAGGGCAATTTTATCTCTTTCCCCAGTGTTGCAGAAGTGGGGCTCACAAATGCACCAGCCTAAGAATCTCCACTGTTAAACATTTGTGAAAGCTGTGGTTGCTATCCAAAAGGTCGCGTTTGGATCCTGACCACTTACTGTTTCAGCCATGCTGGAATATTGTGGAATATTGCTTGTAGTTTTGAAATTTTTTTTTTTTCTTCTCACTTTTATATTTTATTTATAATGTGTGCATTGCAGTTAGTTGAAAACTACCATGACATATATTCTCCGTTTGTTCTTGAAGTTAATAATGTGGACTACTGCAAACAGTTGTTTTTCCAGTGAAGAAGATGACACTCTGCTGTGCTTGTCACTGTTTCTTCATCACAAACTGTAAGAGGGTCCAAAACAAGAGGATAATCATTGTGTCATGATTTAGCCCATCATGTATCTTTTATTATCTGTAATTCCAAGATGTATATTGCCTTCTTTCAAGTAAAGATCAGTGCTTTGCATTAAACCTGAAGCTTTTGTCTCCTTGAATGTCTGTCCTTACTGTAATGTAATTGTAACAATTGTCCTGTTTGACTATTTTAAGTGGAACTAGATTTTCCAGTAGTTTGCATTCCTCCTCACAGCCCTCCCTCTCATAACCCTATTGTTTTAAAGGCTATATTCCTCTAACCACCAGTCTAGAAGTAGTCTGTTTGGCACAAACGCAATCCTTACTATGGCAACACATTCCTCCTGAGAGAGAGATCTGACTGCAAAATCTGATTTGTAAGAAGCTACAATACACTATGTCCAGATTCCTGAGCTTTTGCCTTAGGAATTATCTGTTGGTGATTATTTGATAATAATAATATGCATCATTTTTGTGTAGCACTTTTCAGGACACTCAACGAAACGTCACGTCATTATTATTTCACACCATACACGGTGTCGATAAACTACTACTGTAGCTACAGATGCCCTGGGGCACACTGACAGACAAAGCAACCAGTATGTGCCATAAGGCCTCTCTGACAGCCTTCAGCCATTCACACGAGAATGGCTGAAGATGACCAGATTTATTCTAGACTATGTGGGTGAAGTGACTTGCCTAAGAACACAACGATAGTTTGGCACCTTATTACCACAGCTGCTGCACTGTGGAAACTGGTGTTCCCAGAGGTCTCCCATCACAGAACTAATCAAGTCCTGCCCTACACAGCTTTAGAGGTGTGACGGGATCTGACTAACTTGCAAGTATGGCTATATTTAAGGGATGGGACCTTTCAGACATTTCTGTGTGATGGGCCCAGTGTTCGCAGATTGTCACATGTACAGACCAGTCATGTTCACTCACATTGTATGGTTCGCTATAAATTATCACTGAGATTAAAAGGTTCCAAAAGGCTGAAATTACAATTATACATACACACTGAATTTTTTTCTGTGTGATGGGTCCCTTCCATGGATCTATTATAATAACGGTCCCTTCTGAGAAGAGTATATGATGAAATCATAATCAATGATATAGTGATTACAATTAGTGTCAGTTCAGAAGAGGATGCATTTGAAGATGTCCATAATAGTCAGAAGCCTCCCACAAACAAAAGGTCATACATTTAACAATTGTCCTATTGCAGAGATGTTTGTGAATTGATGACAAAGGATCTATTAATTCATGTTCAGGAAAGTGCACTAACAGGAAATGGAGATTCAGAAAAAGAGTAACATGTATTTGTGTTTACTCAAAAGCTCGCATACATAAAGATATCTGTGGATCCACAGTGTTGGGACTGGCAGATGGAAAAAAATATATACCTTTTAGTTTCATTCAATAAGTATCTCAAGGCTATCAATAGGTGCTTCTACTGTAACTTAACCTGAATTATACAACGACATAAACACTTCACAAATGCGAAAAGTCAATCTTTCTGTGAAACCAGCCTCACAATCATCCATTTTCCATCCATCCATTTTCTTCCGCTTTATCCGTTGCCGGGTCGCGGGGGCAGCAGTCTAAGCAGAGACGCCCAGACTTCCCTATCCACACACACTTCCTCCAGCTCGTCCGGGGGGACCCCAAGGCGTTCCCAGGCCAGCTGAGAGACATAGTCCCTCCAGCGTGTCCTAGGTCTTCCGCGGGGCCTCCTCCCGGTGGGACGTGCCCGGAACACCTCCCCAGGGAGGCGTCCAGGAGGCATCCGGAACAGATGCCCGAGCCACCTCAACTGGTTCCTCTCGACGTGGAGAAGCAGCGGCTCTACTCCGAGCTCCTCCCGTGTGACTGAGCTCCTCACCCTATCTCTAAGGGAGCGCCCAGCCACTCTGCGGAGGAAGCTCATTTCGACCGCTTGTATCCGCGATCTCGTTCTTTCGGTCATTACCCAAAGCTCATGACCATAGGTGAGGGAGGGAACGAAGATTGACCGGTAAATCGAGAGCTTTGCCTTTCGGCTCAGCTCCTTCTTTACCACAACAGTCCGATACAGCGACCGCATCACTGCGCACGCTGCACCGATCCGCCTGTCAATCTCACGCTCCATTCTTCCCTCACTCGTGAACAAGACCCCGAGATACTTGAACTCCTCCACTTGAGGAAGGACCTCTCCACCCACCTGAAGAGGGCAGGGCACCTTTTTCCGGTCGAGCACCATGGCCTCAGATTTGGAGGTGCTGATTCTCATCCCAGCCGCTTCACACTCGGCTGCAAACCGTCCCAGTGCATGCTGCAGGTCCTGGTTCGTTGGAGCCAACAGGACAACATCGTCCGCAAACAGCAGAGATGAAATCCTGTGGTCCCCGAACCGGACCCCCTCCGACCCCTGGCTGCGCCTAGATATTCTGTCCATAAATACAGTGAACAGAACCGGTGACAAAGGGCAGCCCTGTCGGAGGCCAACATTCACCGGGAACAGGTCTGACTTACTGCCGGCAATGCGAACACAGCTCTGGCTCCGGTCATACAGGGACCGGATGGCCCTCAGCAGAGGACCCCCGACCCCGTACTCCCGGAGAACCCCCCAAAGGACACCCCGGGGAACACAGTCGAACGCCTTCTCCAAATCCACAAAGCACATGTGGACAGGTTGGGCGAACTCCCATGAACCCTCGAGTATCCGATGGAGAGTATAGAGCTGGTCCAGTGTTCCGCGACCGGGACGAAAACCACACTGCTCCTCCTGGATCCGAGATTCGACCATCGGCCGTAGCCTCCTCTCCAGTACCTTGGAGTAGACCTTACCGGGGAGGCTGAGGAGTGTGATCCCACGATAATTGGAACACACCCTCCGGTCCCCCTTCTTGTAGAGAGGGACCACCACCCCGGTCTGCCACTCCATTGGCACCGCCCCCGATCGCCACGCGATGTTGCAGAGACGTGTCAGCCAAGACAGTCCTACAACATCCAGAGACTTTAGATAATCAGGGCGGATCTCATCCACACCCGGAGCCTTGCCACCATGGAGGCTACCAACCACCTTGGTGACCTCAGCCAGGGAGATGGATGTATCCGCCCCAACATCCTCAGCCTCTGCCTCTGTAACAGAGGACGTGACGGGGGGATTGAGGAGAACCTCAAAGTATTCCTTCCACCGCCCGACAATATCCCCAGTCGAGGTCAGCAGCTCTCCACCCGCACCGTACATGGTGTTGGCAAAGAACTGCTTCCCCCTCCTGAGGCGCCGGACGGTTTGCCAGAATTTCTTTGAGGCCGACCGATAGTCATGCTCCATGGACTCTCCGAACTCCTCCCAGTCCCGGGTTTTTGCCTCTGCAACAGCCCGGGCCGCGGCACGCTTGGCCTGCCGGTACTGGACAGCTGCCTCAGGAGTCCCCCGAACCATCATGGCTCGATAGGACTCCTTCTTCAGCCTGACAGCATCCCTTACTGCCGGTGTCCACCACCGGGTTCGGGGGTTGCCGCCGGGACCAGCACCAGAGACCTTGCGACCACAGCTATGAGCCGCCGCATCGGCGATTGAGGCAGAGAACATGGTCCACTCGGACTCCATGTCCCCCTCCTCCACCGGGACCTGGGAGAAACTCTCCCGGAGGTGTGAGTTGAAAGTCCGTCTGACAGGGGGCTCAGCGAGACGTTCCCAGCAGACCCTCACTATACGCTTGGGTCTGCCAGGTCTGACCGGCTTCTTCCCCTGCCAGCGGATCCAACTCACGACCAGGTGATGATCGGTTGACAGCTCCGCCCCTCTCTTTACCCGAGTGTCCGAGACACGCGGTCGAAGGTCAGATGATACGACAACAAAGTCGATCATCGACCTCCGGCCTAGGGTGTCCTGGTGCCACGTGCACTGGTGGACACCCTTGTGCTCGAACATGGTGTTCGTGATGGACAAACTGTGACTGGCACAGAAGTCTAACAACTGAACACCGCTCGGGTTCAGATCAGGGGGGCCGCTCTTCCCGATCACCCCTCTCCAAGTGTCACTGGCGTTTCCCACATGGGCGTTGAAGTCCCCCAGGAGAATAACTGAGTCCCCGGGCGGTGCACCGTCCAGTACCCCTCCCAAGGACTCCAAGAAGGCCGGGTACTCTGCACTGCTGTTAGGCCCGTAGGCCGTCACAACAGTGAGAGACTTATCCCCCACCCGGAGGCGGAGGGACGCGACCCTCTCATTCACCGGGGAGAACTCCAACACGTGGCGGCTGAGATGGGGGGCAATGAGAATGGCCACCCCAGCTCGCCGCCTCTCCCCGCGGGAAACACCAGAAAAGTGGAGCGTCCAACCCCTCTCAAGGAGTTGGGTTCCAGAGCCCAAGCTGTGTGTGGAGGTGAGGCCGACTATCTCTAGTCGGTATCGCTCAACCTCCCCCACGAGCTCGGGCTCCTTCCCCCCCAGTGAGGTGACGTTCCACGTCCCAAGAGCCAGCTGTTGTGTGTGCGGACTGGGTCGTCGAGGTCTCCGCCTTCGACCGCTGCCCAGTCCTCTCTGCACCGTTTCGCCACCACGGACCCCTCTGCGGGTGGTGGGCCCACAGGAGGGACTGCCCACGTCGTCCATTCGGGCTGAGCCCGGCCGGGCCCCGTGGGCTAAGGCCCGGCCACCAGGCGCTCGCCTACGAGCCCCGACCCCAGGCCTGGCTCCAGGG